TTTTTTTGCACTCTCATCTAGATTTTTTTCCACCGAACTGCGGAGCAGTGAGCGACGAGTACAGCAGAAACTAGCAACTGGATAACTAGTTATATTGGTGTTCCTATCAAGGGAGTTGGAGAAACGTAAAGTATCAGCTAAGAAACTACCATTCTGTTTTTTATTTTAGTATGATGCCATAGAGTACAGGGCAGTTAGACTGTATTAAGAGCTCAGGAAGGCCGTATTTTCATCAAATTGCTCATTTGGTTCATGTTATTTATACCCTTATTCTATTTCAGCTGTGCAACAGTAAGAAAAACTGCCATTGTGATTTTGGTTGGGCCCCTCCAGATTGTAAATTAAAAGGCTTTGGAGGAAGTGTTGACAGTGGACCCCCTCCGACTGCCAGTAGTAAGTGCTGTGAAAAACTAAGACCTTTATATTTTATCCTATTTTTTAGTCTAAAGCCAGGAACCTGTAACCTGTATTCTAATGTGGTCCTTGCAGCTGTCACCCAAGCCTTTGTCACATCCAGGCTATGCTACAGGAATGTGGTCAGTTGGAGCGGCCCTTGAAAGGAGCTGGAAGTCATTACTTATATAACACTCAAAAGGCCTGATTCTGATATCCTTACTCATACCAAGTGTAGCCCAATCCATAGATTATGTATTAATTATATTGATTACTTAAGAATTCTCAGTTATCACTCTGAGATTTGACAAGTTTTTGTTCCAAGATCAGGCCCAGTATTATTAAAATTACTCTATAGCTGTGAGCTCCGATGTGCACAGTTGCAACACTCACACTGTAGGAACCCTTCTACAATAGTTTATTAATACATTTAGCAAAGTCACAAAGTCACAAACACTTGAACCCAGTAAAATGGATAGAGATAATACAGAATGTACATCTGGACATCCATATACTCACACCATCCCTGGCAGAACAACCTGAAAATGTTAACCATTATCTTTCCCTTCACCATCATCGTCCTCATTACCTCCAGTGGCCATCATCCTGGCACCTCCCAAGGGCTACACCTCTCTCTTCTCCCACACACAGGCTTGAATGGAACTTTTATAATATATTACACTGATGCCACTACGTCTAATGCATATTCAATAGGGGTTTCTCCCCTCTTCTTTATTTGTATTCCTTCACCCTACTAGTGTTAAGGTGCCCTTCTCCTATTGATTAGTATAGTAATGATCTCAACTTATTATCATATACATCAGTTCGTTGCTATGGCACTCTTGTGGTCAGATATCTGCAGATGTTCTATCCAAAAGCCAGCGTTAGCTCATGTTCCTGTCGTTGGCTGGTGTCGTTATGGACAAAATCCCCCCTTACACACACTATTTCTAGTTCTCCAAAACTTAGGGGTGACTGTTAGGCCATTTATGCTATAGGTTACAGGCCTGTAGGTTCCTTGCATTACTGCCAAATAAAATAAATGCTAAAGCTAGCCCCTTGGGCTACACAAGTAGCACCTTACTTTACAAATGGATCAGTGGGGTCTTGTGGAGATAAGATACTATTCATCATGAATAAGTGTATCAAAATCTGGCCCTAAATAGACATCAGAGGCAAAAGAATAGTGTGAAGAAGGTGATGCACTTTTTTCCTGCCTACCTTCCAGGGGGTTCCTACCCAAACCCCTTGATTTTTTCTTCTTCCTTATGTAGAATTTCTCCATTTTACCATAACCCTAAATCCCCCAGCCCTAGTAGTCACCCATTCCTTTTAACTGGTTATTACTTTCCAGTTTTTATAAACTCACTGAATTCCCATATCTCCCCAATTCTTCCAGTGATTGTCCACATATAGTCCATTTCTGGGGTGCATGTGGGGTAGAAAGGACTGTTCCAAGTTGCTGAGCACCAAGTAATTTAATCTTTAAAATGACTAAAATTTCATAGTCTTGAGTAATACAAAATAATAGGCCCAATCATAATAAATGTCTCTCTTAATCCCAGTGCAGGGACATGACTCCCATTGTTTAGGCATATGAGGTTCTTCGCCAGGCCTTAGCAGATACCACAACTAAAGACAAGCAAAATAATCATAATTATTAACTGTGACTATTGTTAAGGAAAGGGAAAAAATTAAAACCAAAAGAGAACACAAACAATAAACAATGGTTACTTCAGTTACAATCTTGTCCATATGTCTCTCTATGGAGAGCTTTTGACAGAGATTACACCTTTTCAAAGTTGGTCTACCCTTGGAAGGGGGCCAAAGTACCTTGTTCCCCAAAATTGATAGTGAGCCTTGTCTTAGTGTATCATAGATAATAAAACCATTTATAGATGGGCAAAATACTTCTGTTTAAGGGCAGGTGAGCCCATTTTGAGTTATCACGGATAACATAACAGGTTATAAATGGACAAAAGTGAGTAATCTTAACTACATCCTATGAAATCAAAAAAACTATTTCAATCAGTTACTCAAAAGAAGTCATTCAATGAGCTTCGTTGAAAGAGGCAAATCAATGAAACCTTAAATCCAAATTAAATC